CTGTTCTACCTTGTCTCAGAGGCCAAATACCTTGAAATGAGACCATTTGAGCAGGTCCTCAGTCTTTTAGGGGCCCAGGTGGGTAACTTAGTGGCTATGTCTAGACAAGTGTGTTGGCATTTTGTCAGGCAGGATTAGTCTCCACTTCCTGTTAGCCACCATTCTTATTGCCTTTTGGGTGGCCAGGTCCATAGGCTGTGGATGAGGGTCACATCCTCTGCAGTATATGCCAGTTTGTCTGTCAGCTCTCGGGGACCCAAGTGTGGCAGCTATAGCGATAGTATTGAGACAACTTGTTCTGCAGTCACCCTAGTGGCCTTGTCTGCCCACTGATTTCTCCAAGCAACTATGGAGTCCCCTTTTTGATGTCCTGGACAATGAATGGTTGCCAGCTTAGCCAGGAGCCATAGGGCTTTCAGCAAGTCCAGGGTTTCTGCTTATTTTTCAGTCTTTCCCTGGGCTGTCAGAATCCCCCTTTCTTGATTTGTAGCACCACACATGTGTTCTGTGGCAAATGCATAGCAGCTCTCCTTATGTACAGTAAGTCTTTACTTTCTGCTAATTATAAAACCTTGGCCAGGGCTGACATTCCTGGGGGCAGAGCCTCAGCCCAAATGTCCTCTCCCTCCATCACCACCGCTGTGCCCACATTCCTTTGTCTGTCTTTGACAAAACTGCTCCAGTTAGTGTGCCAGGTGAATTCAGCTTCTGGCATTGCTTGGCCTCTCCAATCGGGCCACGTCCCGGGGCTTCGGCTGAGTATCTCAGAGCAGTCATGAATTGGTTGATCCAAGTCTGGGTCAGGGAGCAGGGTGGCCAGCTTTAGGGCCATTGATGAGGAGAAACATATGCACAGGCTGTTAAAGAGGAGAGTCTGGTAGTGGATCATACTTGCACTGCTCAACCAGTGCTTGGGAGGCTGCTGGAGGATTCCTTCTACTGCATCAGGTGCTGTCACAGCCAGTTCTTGCCTTAGGGTGAGCTTGTCTGCATCTTTGACAAGCAAGGCAATGACTGCTTTGATTCTCAAGCATGGGGCTACCCTGAGGCAACAGGGTCCAGTGTTTTTGAGAGGTAAGCCACTGGCCATCGCCATGGTCTAAGCCTCTGGGTTAGGACTCCTTTAGCTACTCCTTTATTTTCTTCTACATATAGGCAGAAGGGCTTTGCGATATCGGGAAGTCCTAGTGCTGGAACTGACAATAGGACCACTTTAATCTGGGCAAACCCTCGCTGCTGTTCACCCGTCCATTCAAAGGGCTGGCCTTCCTAAGTGGCTCCATATAGGGGCTTTGCCATTTTGGCAAAGCCTGGGATCCAGAGACAACAGAAGCCAGCTGATCCCAGGAACTCTAACCTGCCTCCTGTTGGTTGGAGTAGGCATTTTTTAACAGAGTTTCTTTGCCTGCCTCTTGCAGCCAGCGTGGCCCCACTCTGTGTTAAGAGAAGCTTTTTCTTTGAGAGAAGCCTTCCCGCCAGCCTAATTCCAGAGCCACATCAGTCCCAAAAAAACACACAGTAGGCTATATTAATTATGAAGCTGTTGGCCTTTGTTTCTTACTGGCTAGCTCTGACTTAAGTAATTACCCCATAATTGTTAATCTAAGTATTTCTCTTACCGGAGAATGGTTCCGGGCTTCCTACACCCATGGCATTACATCTTGACTCTCTTTGTGTTTCTCCTTCCCAGAGTCCTCCTGGACTCCTAGTCCCACCTATCTAGATTCCTATTGGCCAGACAGTGCTTTATTGGCATAAGACTTCCCCAATACCACTCTTAGAATATGACCTAGATATGTCACTTTTTCCTGGCAGATCTGTGCCTTTTTGGTTGAAATCTGATACTCCAGAGTTCCCAGAGTCTGAAGCAAGTCCCTTGTCCCTACCTTGCAGTCATCTTCAGTGGCAGGGGCAATCAGGAGGTCATCTGCATGTTATAGGAGGGATCCTGGGGTGTTCAGTCCAAAAGGCCCCCAAGTCCTCATGGAGTGCCTCATCAATATGATGGGTGAGTTCTTGAACCCCTGGGACAGTTGGGTCCTGGTCAGCTGTTTGTTGACTCCTTTTTCAGGGTCATGGCATTCAAAGGTGAAGTAGGCTTGGCTCTGAGGAGCCAGTGGTTGATGAGGGATGTCTTTCTGTGTGTTGTAAATATATGCTTCTCTTATTGGTTGATGAGTAAAGCATCATGGGCAGCCAGGATATAGCCAGGAAAGAAATCCAAACAAGGATCGAGAAAGGTAGTAGGCAGAGTCAAGGAGACTGCCAGGATAGGATGTCCAGGCATTCTCCAGTAAGCCAAGGCACTTGAAGATACATAGAGTAATAGAAATGGGTTAATAATTAAGAAAAAACTAACCAATAAGAAACCTTAGCTATTGGCCAAACAGTTTATATTTAACATAAGCCTCTGTGTGTTTATTTGGGACAAAACGACTGTGGGACAAGGTGGGACAGAAACCTCCAACTACAAGTGGTAAGCTAGAGGCATCTTAAGTCTAGCGTATCACTCTAGGCTGGGAGACAATGAGTTCAGTAATATATAAGGGTTGGCACTGTGAAGTTAATGTCAATGACTCATTTATTGACTCCTCTTAGGTCCTGAACTGGACCAGGCATTGGAGTTTGTTTTCGCTTTTTCTCTGGATCTGCAGCCGATGCTGCTAACAGTATTCAAACCATGTTGTGAGCCCATTTTTCATCTGTAGCCGCTGTGGCTCTTAGTTCCTTTTTCCTTTCTACTGCTCTAATCCTCTCCTGTCTTTCTTTTTTGTTTTCTATCCTCAGTCTGGCTTGTCTTTCTTCAGGAGTCTCTCTATTATTATATACCTTAGCTGCTATCTTCATCAAGTCATTTGTCGACTTACCATCTAAGCCATCTATCTTTTGGGGCTTTTTTTTCTAATATCTGGTGCTGCTTGTTTGACAAAAGCTGGGACCATTGCTAACCTATGGTTGGCTGTCTCTGGGTCCATGGGAGAGTATGCCCTAAAAGCCTCCATTAATCTCAAGGTAGGCTGATGGTGATTTATTAACCTCCTGCTTAACACTATAAAGTTTAGCCAAATTAGTTGCGTACTTAGCAGCTGCCTGGAGACCCCTCATTAGAATCTGGCAATAGACCTTGAGGTACTCCCTACCTTCTGGTGAATTGAAATTCCATTGGGGGTCAGTCAAAGGGAAGCCTGCATCAATCTGGGCCTTGTTGGCCATGGGATGTCATTGCCTGAAACCAACTTCCGGGCCTCAACAGTAATGTTCACTTTTTCTTCTGTAGTGAAAAGGATCTTTAGGAGCTGCTGGCAGTCGTCCCATGTAGGCTGATGAGTGAAAGTGACAGAATCCGAAAGTTTAATAAGACCCGTAGGGTTATTAGAAAATGGTGTTCTCGTTTTTTTTCCAACTGTACAGGTCAGCAGTGGCAAAGGGCCAGTACAGATAAACCTCATTGCCTTGATCGCATGAAGGGGTAGGGCAGCAGAGTCTGCCTCATAGGCAGTACCTTCCCGGAGTGTTCTTCCGTGGATGGGCTCAGCCTCCCCTGGAGTGTTTGGTGATATTAGGAGATAGCGCCCAGACTGGGGTTGAATAGGAGGGGGAAGAAGATATGGTGGGGGTGTGGTTAGGAGGTCTTCATCCAATCTCCCTTGGAGAACCAGGGCAGTTTTGGGCTTGGGATCCTTGGGGGATGCTTTTGGTATCTCCTAAGGTGAACACTTTTGAGGGTCCCTTGAGTTGGTTGTGAGTAAATGGCTTTAACTGAGGTGATGGGGGCTGGGTGGGGTCGGGATGGGGGCAGTCTGCAACCAGGTCCTCCCTGATGTAGGAAACCTGGTCTGAGTGTCCAGGCCATCCGTAGATGATATCTCAGCCCTGCTAATGACAGATAGGTTAAAAGTGCTTTCTGTGGGCCAGTTAGTCTAAAGGGTGGCCACTCTAGTTCACAGAGGTTCTGGAGTCAGCTGGCCTTTATGTGTTCCCATCATTGAGCATGGTCTCTGAAATCTTTAAAATCTTTAAAATGGTCAAGGAAGAGGCTTAGGGGGGGTGGGAGGTCGATTGGACATCTGGCCCATGATTTCAGGATGTTCCAAACACATAAACAGGACAAACACAAAGATGCACACACAATTAACAGACAACAGGCAGCCATGTACAGACATGAAAGTTAGACACCGGTTTAACGGTATGCAGCCACCACCCACTCAGTTCCTGCAAAGGAACTAGGGGGATTCAATGCCCCCCAGAAGGGTACCCTGGCCCACCAGTGGGGTCCTGGGGTATCCCCTGGTCTCCTAGCCTGTGATCCTCCAGCGTGTCTGCCTAGATCTTAAACAGTCTTCACAGAAGGAGCTCCAATAGTCATAAACCAGAAACAGAGTACAGAGCTTGCCTGGGGAATTGAGAAAGTACTTGATAGTTGGTGCTTCAAGACTCAGTAGATGGTGATCATGGTAGGCTTGGGGATCCAGAATGAGCACCCAAATGTTGTGCCAAAGCCTGAACCCCTAAAAGACCACCAAGAGAACTGATCCAGTGCAAAAACAGAGAGTTTTTTTTTTTCCGAGACAGGGTTTCTCTGTGGCTTTGGAGGCTGTCCTGGAACTAGCTCTTGTAGACCAGGCTGGCCTCGAACTCACAGAGATCCGCCTGCCTCTGCCTCCCAAGTGCTGGGATTAAAGGCGTGTGCCACCAACGCCTGGCCAGAGAGTCTTTATTGCGAGTTAACTTGAACCTCTCTGTCCATCTGATGCAACAGCAGAGCAGGAGAGACCTTGAGTCCCACTGACTGGGGTGGGGCTGCATCCTGCTCAGGTCTTTGTGCTGAGGCCTGAGTCTCTCAGTAGTCAATCTGGTCAGTTTTAGGGACTTCCTGAAGTTCCTGGGTTGCTCCTGGCAAGTGGAGTATTTCTCCTCCCTTTGCAGCATTTCATTATGTTGCTTCCCTGTAAACACCCTGTGTTGGAAACTGTTACACTAACACCCACTTTTCTCACAAGCATCATGAGAATGGTTAACCTGGAACCCTATCTTGAAGATAAACACCCTGAATCGCCACAGCCTCCACCAGGAAGGACCTGGGTTCCAGTCTCTGGTTTGTCATGAAGAATCTGCAGGCGGCACTTCCAGACCATCCCTGCCGCTCCCTACGTGAGCTAAGGCATTCTGCTGTGCCCTCTCTGCATCTCTGAGGCCAGCCCCCTGCTCATTGCTGTCTGGTGGTGCTGACTCTTGTCACTTCTTCCCCCGGTGCACCTCAAGGTTGCAGAGATTTCACTGTCTGACCTGTGTCTCGATGGACAGACCAGAAGACACACTACCTTTGCTGATGTCTTAGCCAACACTGAACAAGGCTCCCTTGCAAACAAGAAAGCCACTAGGTCCACAACATTGTGGGCAAACTAGACCCTTTAGCAATGAAAAAATATCCTTTGAACTTGCCCCCAACTCAGCTCTGTACCACGGTTCCTCTTGGGAGGCAGCCCTGAGTGTTAATTTCTAGGTCATCTTGTTGACCACAGCATGCAGCATGCAGCCTGCACGCTGGGGGACCCTTGTCTTGCTAGAACCATCCACACACCTGTATGCACAGCACCTTTTTCTGCCATGACTGACACGTGTTCCAAGTGAATAAAGACAAATGTGGTTTCACCACTGCAGCTGTCATTTATCATCCCAACCAAAAGCATAATCACAGCCTCGCGTGCATCTGGAATGTGATGTCTGTACTACTTGGCGGGCATGTGGGTCCTGTATAACCGGGTCTCTACGAGTACCAGCCATTCCTTCCCTTGCAGACCACCCTTACCCTGTGCCTTGGTCCTGCCTCAGAAGCATCCCTGCTTCTGACCAGCTGCCCTCACTGCTCAGGACACCAACCATCCTTCCCATCTCCCGACTTTACAGCATTATCCACCCCTCCCCGGTCCCTGTCCCTGTCACTGCAGTGAGAGTGTCTCACTCTTCCTTGGCCCCAAAGCTCCTGTGAAACTCCTTCTAAGTAAGAACTCTGTCTAGCCTCCTCTCCACCTGTGCAGAGAGTCATGGGAGGGGACAGCAGGACCTCCACAAGCCTGAAGGTCATGGCTGGGGACAGAGGAGGAGCATTGCCTTTACCAGGACAACTCAGCTAAGATATGTGACATGGATGAGTAGTCTTCCTGGCTCTCAGTAGCCCCCAGAGCTAACACACCTGGCCATTGTCTAGGGCCTGTCATCTGGAAGGTGGCACTTCTGGGGCTGAAAAGGCAGCATAGCAGGAAAAGCCACATGGTAGTTGAAGGAGAAGACCCAGAGCTACTGCAGACCTCAAGCATTCCTTGTTCTAGAACAGGTGCAGGCAAGCTTAGACAGGGAGAAACTATGCCACAGAGGACTTTGCTGCTGAGCCAATGGACCTGGACTCTTGTTCATGTGAGCTCAGGGTGAGTTGCACTGTTGCCCAAAATGTGTTCACATGGCACCAGGATGTCCTCAGAGAGGGCCAAGTGTGCTTGTGTGAGACAGTGTGGCTTGAGTAAATCAGGAAGGGGGGGTCTCTCACAAAGCTAAGGACCCGGGGATCACATCAGACCTGCTTTTCCTCCCAGATTAGCTCCATGGGGATCACAAAGTGCGTGGACAGGCCCTTTCTCCCCTGTCATATTCTAGTTCATGGCCTGTGGTTTATGATTACCCTGGAGCCAGCCAATGAGACACCAGCCAAGTTTTCTGCCTGGAGGAGGGGCAGGTCCTGGCAGGTTCTTCTGATTGTGGAGTCTACAGTGTCCTGGGATCCTCTGCTCTGTGCTATCAGGTGAAAGAACAGGGAGGTAAGGCTGGGGTTCTCTGTGGGCCTGGAGTTCCTCAACCTTCCTGGGGACTCACTGGGGGAAGGCATGGTTTTGGCTTGAGCTGTTATTTTTCACTAAATTAAATCTTGTAATCAGAGGGAAGACGTTTCTCTGAAACTTGTGCTTGGGAGCACAGGATTGTGTAATGCATGGACCGTGAAGAGGAAACAGCCTGATACCAGGCTTCCTGCCACAGGGAACTGTCTCGGGGCACCAAAACTTCAGAGAGTCTGTAACTGAGTAAGGAGAGCAGTGGGGAAGGGACTATAAACACACGAAATATACACAGGCCACCATATTAAATCCTCACAATTAGGCAGGAAACCGAGTGTTATTTATTGTATTCTACAGAGGAAGGCATAAAGACTCCCAGAGGTGAACGGCATGACTAAATCACAAAGATGTAGAGGGAGAAACTGAGGGAGAATCCAAGGGAGTGGTCAGGGTTAGTGCCTTCATACTTGGTTCCAGTGATGCCCTATTGCTTCCTGGGTGACACTAGAAAACACACAAGTGTAAATTTTACATGGCTCCTAGGAGGCCTGGAGCATGGTTGAAAGGACTCGGAGGACTCACGTGGTTTTCTTTCTCTTCTGCAGAGCTTAGGGGTGGTGTGCTGGCATGTCTGGCTGTCCCTTGTGGATGCAAATTTGAGACCCAGAAGACTCTTCATGACTCCTCATCACATCCGCCAGTACCAGGAGAGAGACCACAAACAGGTCCTGGACTTGTTCTCTAGGGGCATGGAGGAGCACATCCCTACCTCATTCTACCATGCATTGATGCTGCCCCGAACCCTCCTGGTCTTACTTGGGATGCCCACTGCCCTGGTCCTAGTGTCAGGCTCTTGGATGCTGGCCATTATGTGCATCTTCTTTCTACTCCTGTTACTGTGGCTCCTTGCCAGACAGCCCTTGAAGAAGTTTGTGAACATGTGTTTACACACAGACCTGGCTGACATCACCAAGTCCTACCTCAGTGACCTTGGCTCCTGCTTCTTGGTGGCTGAGACTGAGGGCCAGGTAGTAGGCTTGGCGGCTGCTCGGCCAGTCCAGGATGCCTCATTAAAGAGGAAGCAGCTGCTGCTCTTCCACCTGTCTGTGTCCTCACAGCACCGAGGACAGGGCATAGCGAAAGCGCTGATCAGAGCTGTCCTCCAGTTTGCACGGAACCAGGGCTACAGTGACGTCGTTTTGCGTACCTCTATGCTGATGCATGATGCTGTAACCCTCTACAAGGGCATGGGCTTCCAGAAGACAGGCACGTCCTTCTTCAACACAGTAGCGAAGCTACTAACTGTCCCTTCAATTCATTTCAGTTATCCACTCCCTTCGGGTCAGGAACTTGAGTTTTGATCTAATTTCCTCTAGTTCACTGTGCTATCACAAGCAAATCCTAATGTTGCAGTGGATCATAAAGCCATATTTGTCACGCTCATTGGAATCCTGTATATTTGATGGAGGGTGAAGAACAGAGACAATGGAGTGATCCATTTCTTCCAAAATCTACTTCCTGCAGAGGGCTATCAGTGACCACTGATGCAGTGGGGGTAGTTTCATGGCCTGACCAGCATGTGTGGCCCATGCTGACACTGACTAGACCCAGTCTCGTGGGCCAACATGACTGAGTAGAGGCCATGTATGGAGTGTTTCTGTGGGTCCAGAAAGAAGGTTTGAGATTAGAGGGTCCTAGATTTATTGACCTTGTGATCCGAGGCTGGAGTTGTCTCAGTGCCAAGACTAGGGACTCCAGAAATTTAGGTGCTTCAGGCTTGACCATGCCATCCTACAAGGTTCATGGATGAATTAAGACAGAGCTGTGTGCTGGTGTTTTCCAGACTGTTCGTCATTTCTGCAACTTCATCTCTAGCACTGACATGCTAATACAGGTCTGACACTGTCTCACACTGGACATCCTTAACCCAGAAGGCCTGCTGATTACAACAGCAATGCCAGAAGCACTTGGGGACAAACAAGGGGTGTTTTCAGGTAGTTGCTGTCCTTGTAATGTGTATACAATAGTGCAGAAATAGTTTTTTCCTCACCTAGAACACACATGGACTCTGGATTCTGTAAACCTGTTCTTGTGTGTTTTTCTGTTGCTGTGGTAAAAATACTGTACCAAAAACAGCTTAGGGGAAGAAAGGGCTTATTTCATTTTACACTTTGAGGCCACAGTCCATCATTGAGGGAAGTCAGGCCAGGAACTCAAGGCAGGAGTGCTTGCTAGCCCTTGCAGTGTCAGCTCTAACTAGGGAACTTACTCACAGCGAGGAAGTACAGCAGGGACCATAGAGGCTGCTGCTTGATATCATGTAGAGTGCAGCCTTCCTGCCAGCCTGGTTCCAGAGTTGTATAAGTCCCAAATGAACACACAGAAGGCTATATTAATTATGAAGCTGTTAGCCATTTGCTTGTTTCTTACTGGCTAGCTCTGACTTAAGTATTTAACTCATAATTGTTAATCTAAGTATTTCTCTTACTTCAATGGTGGCTACATGATGTCTGCCTGTGTCTCTCTTTCCCAGAATCCTCCTCAACTCCTAGTCCCACCTATCTTGCTTCCCTATTGGCCAACAATGGTTTATTGACATATACACAGGACTTCCCCATCACTAGCTGGTTCCTCACTCATGCTCAGCTAGTTTTCTTATTCAGCACAGGCCCACCTGTCTAGGACTGTTGCTGCTCACAGTAGGCTCAGTCCTCCCTCATCCACCATAAATTAAGAGAGTCCTTCACAGATGTGCCCTCAAATCAGCCTGATCTAGGCAGTCCCTCAACTGAGACTCTGTCAGAAGATGGATCCAGGCTATGTCAAGTCAACTGCTCAGACGGAAGAGGCAGAACCTGACGACAGGTATAGATGGGGTAACTGGGACAACAACAACTTTTTATTGTGAGATTATGGGAGTCCTGGGCTCATGGTAACCCCATGCGAACTCCAGCTTCTCACTGGTGAGCTCCTAATTAGGGCCAGGGTCTCTGTTTGGGGAAGACGTAGAACAATGGTATCTTTACCTCCATATATCACACCAATGATAAAGAAAACAAATGACTCCCCTAGTCTATCTTGATAAGGCAAGGAATTCGTCAGAATTGTTTATGGCAGCACAGGTGATGGCTTACTTATTTCATTGTGGAAGACTGAAAGCCCACCTTTGTAGATGGAGTTTCTGTCCCACTTGGTCCCACAGCCATTTAGCCCCAAATAAACACACAGAGACTATATATTAATTATAAATTATTTGGCTGATAGCTTAGGCTTCTTACTGTCTAGTTCTCTCTTAATTATTAACCCATTTCTATTAAACTATGTATCTCCACATGGTCTTGACTTACTGGAGAATGCCCGGAACTGTTACTCCTTTGGTGGTTATATGGCAGCCCCTCTCTGCATCTTCTCCCCAGAATTCTGGTAGCCCTGCCTATACTTCCTGCCAATCAGTGTTTTATTCATCAACCAATAAGAGAAACATATATACAGATGGACATCCCACATCAGTCCTTGACATGGGTAATGACTATGGAGTCTGCATCACTGGGTTCTTGGAGCAACCTGTAAGAAGCTACATCATCGAAATGCTCCTAACCACAAGTAATCATTAACTGCTTAAGTAACCCTGGGGAAGGGACTTTTGAGACTTTCAGCTTTCTTGACAGTTTTGGGAGTGTCTCTTTCACTCGAGCAAGGGAATGTTCCAATCTGGAGTAAGTAATTACACAACATTCCACCTCTTCCTCCAGCTCTTACATCCAAACACAACAACTCTCGAAATGTTCCCTGAGCCATGTACTAGAGAAATGTAGATGTCAATAGTATAGACCAAGAGTAGTACACATTTTCTTAGCAATTTGGTTAGCTATGAGTCTCCACAGTAACCACTGTCCACTGAAAAAATGAGAAATTCCTCTTCACAACAGTGATTGACAGAAGCTGCATGCTTTGGGTATGGATACTTAGAAGACCATTTGATAGACATGTACATCAAATTAACACAATAGCAGTAGACTCCCCTCCAAAGCCTGTGTGTGACTCCCCTGCCAAAGGGTTTTGCTCACTTATAGTACCAAACCTGGGTTCTCCCCTGTGAAGTTGGCTTTACATCCAACCAGAAAGCAGTTAGTTGTACCCACAGCCCTGCCACTATCATACCAGCAGAACTAACTAGCAGGTCATGTGCTGATAACAAGGCCATTTGTGACAATTCTCCCCCAGTCTTGAACAGCCCTTTTCTGACACTATAAATGTTAACCAGAAGGGAAGGAAACTTCAATTCGCCCTGACTTTTTCCATGTCTTTTTTACAAGAAATGTGCAAAATCTTCAGCAATAGGGACTCACTATCTAGTTTTAATATGTAACCAATCGCAGTGTGTTGAGGAAGTCCTGTGATTATGTCAATAAAGCACTGTTGAGCCAATAGGAATCTAGATAAGTGGGACTAGGAGTCCAGGAAGACTCTGGGAAGAAGAAACACAGAGAGTCAAGATGTAACGCCATGGGGTAGGAAGCCCGGAAAGTTCTCCGGTAAGAGAAATACTTAGATTAACAATTATGGGGTAATTACTTAAGTCAGAGCTAGCCAGTAAGAAACAAGCAAGGCCAACAGCTTCATAATTAATATAGCCTACTGTGTGTTTATTTGGGACTGATGCGGCTCTAGAACCAGGCTGATGGGAAGGCTTCTCTCAAGGAAAAGGCTTCTCTTTACAGCAGTGGCAATAGCCTGTATTGTGTGGAGACTCACAGACCTCCTAACCTATACCTCACTTTCACACTGGGATATTCATCCAACAACCATATGGCTACAGGGAGTGTCCTTTCCCACCCACAGAGGCATACAAATTCAGTTTTTCCTAGTTCTTTTTTTGATATCTACTAAGTACATATTTAACAGAAGGTAGCCATGTCCTTTTGATGTACAATGAAAATTATAATAATAAACAAGTAGCACAAAAATGCCTGCTAGGCAGAAATCCCAGTGTCTAGCTTTCATATCTTAAGATCTTGAATTGAGTAAAAATTGAAGAGGATAGAAAATTTAAAAAAAGAAACCACTGCCACATTTGGAATAAGGAGGAACAACGCTAAAGCTACTCTAATAACTAAGGCTGGCCTAGAACTTCACAAAAATTCTAACTACATTTCTTTATTATTGTGATTATTATTATTTACTGGAAAATTAGGAATTATTTGGCAATGCTACTTTTGAGAGGGCCAGGCATATGACATATGACAGGCCCCTGATAACTCAGTTAAGAAACATGCCGCAGTTCACAAACAAGGGACAGTCAATCACCAACGCCCCTTCCCACCACGTGTGATAACCAAGTAATTCAAAGCCTGGGACTTGCCCAATAATGTAAAACCTATAGCCTTAGCCAACCCCTGCTAAGCCTAGCCAATTAGAAACATACTAATATTATTGCCACTTATGCAGGCCAATTATAAGTAGAATGGTCACACTGCTTTTAAAACTCCCATAGCTTAAAAGGAGCTTACACATTCCCTTGGGGTTGTCACCATTTTGTATAGGTATCTGATCCCACGTGCTTATGGTATAATAAATGCTCTTGCTGACTGCATCATGACTGGTGGTCTTTGGGGGGCTTCTTGAGAACTCTTTAGACTAGTAAACAATGATAAAGTCCAATGAGAGAAAAAAATAAACCATGAACAACCAGGCAGGCTTACAAAGTTGTCTTTAGGGAACAATCTGGAAAAATTCAAACATTTCACAGTAGAGGCATCCCTGGGCTGTTGTTATTGTGAACCAAGATGTCATTAAAATGCACATCATGACACAGAAATCTATTCAAGGGAAGCTGCAGTCCTAAACTCAGCCTCTGCTTGGAATGAACTGTGCTATTCACAATTGTTTCATGAAAGGTTTCCTCTTGGCATGCTCTCAGCCTAGCAAAATAATCCTAGCAAAGGAGTTGAACTAGAAAGACCAGAGGGGAGGGAAGGGGAAGGGTGGAGGTAAGGGGGGAGGTGCTTAGAAGCAGTCGGAGATCTCAGCTGTACACCGGAAGCCTTTTATGGTTCTTTTTGAAAAGTCCATGGTAATTGAAGTTTCCCAGGAGGGAGGGAAGATGGAACTTTAATATAAAGTATTTCTAAATCTTTTTGGGGGGGTGGGAACTGTTTCAAGACAGGGTTTCTCTGAGGCTAGCCTTGAACTCGGATTTGCCTGCCTTTGCCTCCCAAGTTCTGGGACTAGAGTGCTGGAACTAAACGCGTGAACCACCACACCCAGCCAAGTAGGTCAAGTATTTCTAAATCTTAAGGTGAAGGCATCATTGAAAGTGTGCTTCAGACACCCTACTATGTTCACAGACTGGAGCCTAGCCCCATCGTCAGCAAAGAGGCTTCATCCAGCAACTGATGGGGGTAAATGCAGATACGGACCCACGGCCAAATATCAGAGGGAGCTCAGTGAATCCTTTGGGAGAGGCAGGAAAGGATTGTAGGAGTGAGAGGGGTCAAGGACACCATAAGAACATGACTCACAGAACCAACTAAGCAGGGTTCATAGGAGCTCACAGAGATTGAAGTGACAACTGCGGAGCCTGCGTGGGTTTCCTCCTACGGGGTTGCCTCTCCAGTCTTGACATGAATGTTTGTATCTAGTCTTGTAACTTGTTATGCCGTGTTTGGTTGATGTACCTGGGAGGTCTGCTCTTTTCCGAAGGAGGAGCGGTGGACCAGGGGGAGAGGGGAGGTTCAGGGGACTGGGAGGAATGGAGGAAGGGGAAATTGCAGTCAGAATGTAATATATGAGAGAGGAAGAAAGAAAGAAGTGTTCTTCAGAGGCTAAATCTCAATACACCTGGAAACGTTAATAAAATCCACTCTTGTTCCTCCTTTAAAAGTATTTTTTTTCTGAGTAACTTATTTGTTTTTATTCTTTATTTTTAATCTTTTAAAATTATTTATTTTACATCCCTACTGAAGTTTCCCCTCTCTCCTCCTCCCATTCCTTGCCCCACTTCCACGCCACCCCTCCCCCATCCACTCCTCATCTGTTTCTTTTCAGAAGGGGGCAGGCCTCAAATTTTAATATGCTCAGGACACGCCCTGACCTGTGTCCTGACAGCGGTAGCTCCTTGTTTTCTGTCTCTGTAAACCGGGGTAACCTGGGCTACCCCCATGCTTTCAGCATGGTCTGGTCTGGATCTCCAGGTTTTATGCTGTGCTTTAAAAAAGATTAATTAGGCTTATGTTTTTGGCAATTTTCTCGCATGTATGTAGTTTATTCTGATTATTCTTTCCTCCTACCCTCTTTTATTTCCCTTCAGTCTTACCGACCTTCCCTCCTCCCCACAAGTCCCTTCCCCAGAACCACATCTTTTTTAGTTTATCTTGTGACCCACTGTGTTTACCCAGAGCTGTCTGTGTGGTATTTTGTTTTATTTTTGAATGTCTAGTGCATTCAGGAGTGCATGCATAGACACACGTGTGTGGGCATGGCCAGATGTTGGCATCCTTAGATGCCTTTTTTTTTTTTCAATTACACTCTGTCTTGTATGGAGTCTTTCTTTGTTCCACCAGCCAACTCCCAAATCATGACACAAAGACTTATTATTAATTATGAAAGCTTGGCTGATAGCTTAGGTTTGTTCCTAAATAGCGCTTATAACTTAACCATTTCTATTAATTTCCTTTCTGCTTTGTGACTTTATTGCCTCATCTCCCTACTGCCCATCCTGCTTGCTCTGCATCCTCTGTGTCTCCTGGAATCTCTGCCTTTCTTTCTAGCATCCTCTGTGCTTGGAAATCCTGCCTAGGATTGGCCGTTCAACTTTTTATTAAACTAGTCAGAGTGGTACTTCTACACGGTGTACAAAAAGATTATTCCACAACACTGTCTTGTGTGCTGAGGCAGACTCTCTCACTTGAACCTGGGGTTGGCTGATTTGGGGAATCTACCTAGCTAGCTCAATCTTGGGATCCCATCTCTGCTGCTCACACACCAGGATTACAGGTAAACTATCAAGCTCACCTGGCATGTGTATGCAGGTGATTGTGCACATGTGTGTGCATGCATGTGAGGCTTGAAGTTGACACTGAAAGACCCCCGAAGAGATGCTTTCACGGAAGGGAGACCCGTACCCAAGGAACAGCGAGACCACGAACTTGGATGCAACAGCAAGAGGCTTTTATTGGTAACACACGGGTACCCGGGCATCTCAGTCTCAGGGAACTGAGCGCGCCGAGCTGGGGACTCAGAGGTTCTTTTATAGCAAAAAGCGCAGGACAGAAGTGAGAAGCTTAGTAACAGGACCCTGATTGGACAATTTAAATGAGGCTAGGGTTCGGGGCAATTGAGGTTTTTCTTGGAACTCTAGTCTTGGCCCTGTCCGAGGAACAATCGGTTTCTGTGTTTGCTCAACCTTGCTGAGCGGGCCATCTGGTCGACCATAGATATCTTTGTGTTTGCTCAACCTTGCTGAGCGGGCCGTCCGGCCGCCCACAGATATCTTTGTGTTTGCCACCAGGCAGCCTGTGTCCTTGGGCTGAGCTTCCTTTTGATAGGCAATGACTATGCAGCTGTGGAGGAACGGAATTTTCCATAAGCCTCAGCTTTCAGCTGCCTGTTAGACTGGGCCAGAGTCTTTCAGACACGTGTCTCAATCTCTTTCACCTTTAATTATCAAGGCAGAGTCCCTAATTGACCTTGGAGCTGATCGGTTTGGCTGTTCTGGCTGGCCAGCTTGTTTTGGGGGTCCCTTGCCTCCTGAATTCTGGGATTTTTGTCAGCCAGCATGCTTGCCCAGCTTTTATGTGGGTTTTAGGCATCCAAACTCCTGTCTTCACACTTGCATGGCAAACACTGAGCCATCTCTTAGTCGCTGCATTTATTCTTACACAACCTGCAGAACAGAGTTGAAACGATGTTTGTATTGCTTTTGCAATGGTCTCCAAAATCACAATGCCACATTCTCTCGCAGGTTTTTGCCTATAGGTTCAATTCCTTCATCCATATCACACTTTTCTAGCAACCTTCCTTCTGCAAGTCCACTGACAGGCTAATTTGCGATAATAAACTACTTCCTAATGTTTTCAACTTTTTCTATAGTGATGTCAAGCGCCAGCACAACACCTACCCATTGCTTCTCTACAGGAAGTTGTGAATGTGGACCCTTGTCGGTAACTTGAATTTTCTTTGTAACCTGTCTATTCAATCTTAAAGCCTATTCATCGTCTGGAAATAGAGGTAGCATTAAAGGCATTTCCTGAGAAAAATGCAAAAGGAAACAGTTCTTCCCACACTGGCATCCCAGAGCAGGAGCAGCTCGGAAGGGCAGTTCGTCTTCTTTGTGAAGAGCGCCACCATGTGTTGAGTACTTTTTACTGCAGCCGACTCCCCCATAACCCAGGCGCCTCTGGGCCTGAAAGGAAGTTCTGGAGACGCAGCAGGAGACCTACCAGAGACTGCCTGGAGGTGACCCTGACATGGCAGCTTCCCACCTTTAAGCCTTAGAGTACAAGGGCGGCGATCACAGCGTTGCAGGTTCTTGGGAGTTGGTTGGGACAAAGTGGCCTTCCTCTTGCCCTCAGTGAAGTTCTCTGGGGACTTCAGAGGCCAGGGAACGAGCTCCTCAGTCCCTAGAGTCGGGCAAGTGTGCAGAAGGCCTCTCCGGTGCACGGACTCTTCAAGGGCAGAGGATTGCCAGTTCTTGAACCAGACACATTCCTTTCTCCAACTTGCTTCGTGGCAGTCATTGTTTATTTAGCCCTGCGTTCCTGAAAGCCTTGTCCCCGACACCAGCTGCCATATTGCCTGTGGTCTGTTCAACCCGGAAGAGGATACTAAGCATCTTCAGTCCTCAAGGTAAGTGACATGATTTGGGTTTTTCTGGAAACATAAGATCAGTTTTAGGTTGTTTGGGTGGCGCATCCTCCAAGAGGTCTGGGACCAAATTATACTTCAGTATGGCCAGCTCAGCTCTTTCTGGAGGGCAACAGAAGAGGCCTGTGTTGCCCAGGTCTGGCACCCGTGTGTGCACGAGGAGACTGTGCTTTCGGGTCACGTGGTGGGTTAAGAGCAGCAGGAAGACTCTGTGGTCCCTCAGTCTGCCCAAAAGTCCGTGGGGGAAAAACAGGAATTGAGCCAGGAGAACTGAGGCAAAACCTGGAGATCTAGACCAGACCTTGCTGAAAGCTTGGGTGTAGCCCAGGTTACCCCGGCTTACAGAGACAAAAAACAAGGAGCAGCCGCTGTCAGAACACAGATCGGTACCTGTCCTGAGAACATTTAGCATCTAAGAAGAAGAAGGAGAAGATTTCAAAAAGCCCAAGACCAAACCCGTGTGTGTGCTGTGTTCTCAGGGACTGGGGAACAGTCTCCAGAGCCAGGGGGAGCTGCTTCCACAACTACCCATGTGGAAAAGGGTCCTGGGAGCTGAAGACATTCACTAGAGGGCTTCCTTTGTGATGTCTTTATCTCCTCCAACTCCACCCTCATCATTTCGCTTGGCTGTGTGGCGTCTGAGGCAGGGACAATATAGATCCTACCATCAAACCATAAATCAGGAAATCAAATAGGATTTCTCAAAAGGGCACATGCTTAAAATGCTCAGTTGACACACAACCGTATCTGTTCCACAATTCCAAGAGGCAAAAAAAGACCCACTTGGGGGGGGTCAAAACCAGTAAAAGATCAAATGAACTGAGCCTTTTTGGTATCACAGATCTTAATGATTCGGTCCAGAAAGTGACCCTCAAATTTGGCGTAACAACTTCACTAGAGATGCGGAGTCTGGCTAGAGTTAATGGGTCTTTGACAACCTAAAACTATGAACAGTGGACTTCAGCTCAGCAGAGTGGGGGTGAGGATGCTCCCAGCAGTGAGAAAACACAGGACTGCTGCACCTTCTCTGCTCTGTTTTTGTATTCCGGACTCCCAAGGGTGGCTATGTGGGGGTCCTGTTCTCCCCAATGCACACCTGACTTCAACTCCAGATCATTAGAAACTCAGGCCAGGAAGAATTTATCAGCTCCCAGGAGGCAGGGAAGCCTGTCCAGCCAGCCTCTTCCAGATGGATTCTGTCCCAATCTTGGATGGGGCTTACCTGAAGTTTGCACTGTAGGAACTGAGACCAAAGGTCAGACAGAAAGAACTAAGCCCATCCCCAGCCCACATCCCTGTGAGAGTCCTCTACTGCACTCAACTGTGCACATGACACAGATGGGTCAGTAAATCCCAGGAATGTTGTGCAAGTTGTCACAATCTACCAGACTCACCTCAGTTAATTCCTCACCAGATGAATGGGTCAGCAAAGAAAGATGGTTGATTGCATAGGAGAGATGTGAGCCCCAATGCTAGGAATACTCACCAGAGACCCAACTAGAGCCACATCTTGCCCAAAGCTCACCCTAATCTTGTACCACCTCTGCCCAGTTCACTGTGGGAGTGGTGTTGTTCTAGATGCTGTTCCTTGATCCCTCTCAAATTCTATCTTTGTTGCCAAGGAAGGTTATGTAAAAGTGTTGTGTAATCCTCCTCTTTATTTCCTCTGGTCATTGGAAAGCGGGCACTGTGTGCCATAACACACACCATTGCAATGCCCTGCGAGTCCCCATGAACTTGACTTGTGTTTGGAGAGTCAGTCTCTGCTTGTTATTCTAACACCATGAAAGGGAGAGAGGTTTAGATCTTCCCACAGCTTCTTACTGTGGACACTGCTGTCAGTATGAACAGGGTGGTCACACTGTAGGAGTGAGGAAAGGGCCTGAGGAAGGGCTGCTAGGGCGCATGGGTGACATGTTTAGTGCAGGCCAGAAGGAGAGACAGAGTCTCTGTTGCATCTAGCTCCAGACCATGTCAGAGCATCATAATCTTCCAAGAAGATAACTGTGGATGTTAAGGTAAAATTGAAGTCCTATTAACTGTCCATCCCACAATCACCTGAACAAGATAGGTGGGAGCAAGAACTCTAGAGACAGAGGGCAGGAGAAGTCAACAAGCCCCTGCCATCAGCTTGATCTGGTTTTCAGGTTGTTTTTGTTTGTTTTGCCCTAATGAGTTTTAATTTCCTTTAAGACAAAAAATTTCATCAATGGTGCTGGTTTGGATAAGAATGGTCTCCAAGGCCTAGGTAATCTATTGAGCCTTGGGCAGCAGATCAGTACTCATCCCGAGTATACACACGAACTTTGGACTCCCATCCAACAATGTGAGAGGCACTCTCACCCTGAACTCTTGGGAAAGGGTCTAGGCCCTGCCCTGGATGAAATGACAGACTATGGACACACCCATGGAGGGCCTCACCCTTCCTGAGGAAATGAGGGGATATTGGGGGGGTAGGTGGGAGGGCACGGGAGGAGGGGAAGGAAACGGAGAGGGATCTGAAACTGACTTGTGAAGCAACCTTGTTCCTAATCTAAATTTAAACTTAAAAATAAATTAAAAAAAAAGAATGGTCTCCAGTCGGTGGAACTTTTTTGGCTCTCACATTAAATATCTGAAGCCGTTAGCCTGTGCACCATCTCAACACAGTCAGCATTTTAAACAGTGCTGTGTGCCCACAGAGGTGGGGATGGGGTGTGATGCTCAAACTCTGAGCATCCTAGAGTTCATGCAGATACCCTTGTCCAAGTCTGTCTTATGCTGGGACTAAGAAGAGGGTGATTGCATGAGGGCGTCTTGGTGAGAAAGGGGACAGAAGGTCAGCAAGGACCACCAGGACCCATTGCCCAGGAGCAGGCACAACTTGGAGGGAGACTCTCAGTGATGAGGCTCCTGTTCCTGAGCCCATAGACCGGATTCTTTTTTTTTTTTTTTTTTTTTTTTTTGGTTTTTCGAGACAGGGTTTCCCTGTGGCTTTGGAGGCTGTCCTGGAACTCGCTTGGTAGACCAGGCTGGCCTTGAACTCACAGTGATCCGCCTCCCTCTGCCTCCCGAGTGCTGGGATTAAAGGCGTGCGCCACCAACGCCCAGGTAGACCCAGATTCTTGCTTTCCACAAGTGAGCTCAGATGAGTGGTTCAGTTTCTAGTTTCCTCCCAGCAGGTGCATGTAGAGATCAAGATGGGCGTCAGAGAGGCCCAAATGTGACAGGACAAAGGCTGTAGGCTGAAAGGGACAAGGAGATGAGTCACAGCTTCCCATGAAGGTGAGGAACTTTGAGCTGTCCTAGATCCCCCTATCCCTCCTAGGTTCATTATGTGGGTTCACAAAATCAGCTGGACTTTGGCCCCTACCTGGTCGCAACTCAGCTTCTTCACTCCAGGTTCATGATTATCAAACATCCAGGTGCCAGCCAATGAGACCTCTACTCATGTGAACCCAGAGTGAGTTACATTGTCCCAAGGTTCACCTAACAGATGTGTCTTAGGCTAGAGGCAGGGCCAAGTATCCTGGGTGAGGGATGGTGTAGCATGAAGAAATCAGGAAGAGAGATGGCAGCCTTCCACAGATTAAGGACCATCCTGGGTCGAGCTTCTTCTCCATGCCAATCCTATGGGGATGGCAAAGTGAATGGACAAAGGCTCTCTCCTGTCACTTGCCAGCTCTTGACTCTGGTTTATGATTATCCAGGAGCCAGCCAATAGGGCGGCAGCCTGGCTCTGTTCCCCGAGGTGGAACTCATCTTAGATGCCATCCTGGACACTCCACTGCGGCAGCAGGGAAGAGGACAGAGAGACACGGTTGGTTTCTCTCTGGGTCTAGAGTGCACGGCCTTCCTGGGTGTTCAAGGGTAGTGTGCTTTGGGGCTTGACCTTTGCTTCTTAGTGGATTACATCTTCCTAACTAGGGGAGTGTTTGCTGACACCTGCCGTGGGAACAAGGGATTCTGAAATTCATGAATCCTGAAGAGGAGACACAGCTGGGGACAGCACATCTTCCTTCCATGAGGTACCATCACAATGTCCTGAAGACTGGAGGGGGGGAAGGGGCTGTGCAAGCCTGTGCTGCATCAAGCTCGCTGTACTAAATCCTCAGCATTGCCCTGGAGCCCAGGAGTTACTTTACCCTGATCTGTAGATGAAGGCACACAGGCTCAGAGAGGTTGGCATGCCTAGGGTCACATGACTGGCCAGGGGAGGAGTCAGGGGTATAATGTTCTGGAAACCAACACTGTGCCTTAGTGTTGGTGTTTTGCTGCCTCCTGGGTGACAGTGGAAATGAGCACCTGTGAGTCTGGAGGCTGGGAGCTGGGTGGTGAGTGGAGGTTTGGGAAACTCATTTGCCCTCTTCTGGCTCCCTATGTAGGGCTATAAGGAAGCAATACAAGAAGATCGGGGCATCTCTTGTGGACGCTGAGACTTGAGACCAAGTTCTCCCATGGCTTCTTTTCACATTCGCCCCTTCCAGGAGAGAGATTATGACCAGGTCGTGGACTTGTTCTCCAGGGGCCTGAAGGAGCACATCCCCAATGCCTTCCGCCACCTGCTGACGCTGCCCCGGACCATCCTGCTCTTAATTGGAGTGCCTCTTGCCACAGTCCTGGTGTCTGGATCCTGGATGCTGGCTGTTTTATGCAACTTCTTCCTGTTTGGATTTTTGCAGCTCCTTGCTAGTTATCCCTGGAAAAAGTATGTGTCTGAATGTTTGCACACAGACATGGCTGACATCACCAAGTCCTACTTGAGTGTGTGTGGTTCAGGTTTCTGGGTGGCTGAGTCTGGGGGCCAGGTGGTGGGCATAGTCGGGGGTCTGCCAGTCAAGGATCCCCCACTGGGGAGGAAGCAGCTACAGCTCTTTCGCCTGTCTGTGTCCTCACAGCATCGAGGACAGGGCATAGCGAAAGCACTGGTCAGAACTGTCCTCCAGTTTGCACGGGACCAGGGCTACAGCGACGTTGTCCTTGAGACTGGCCTTGTGCAGCGAGATGCTGTGAGCCTCTACTACAGCATGGGTTTCCAGAAGACAGGCGAATCCTTCATGAACACGCTCACATGGCTTGTGGATATCTCTGTGATTCATTTTATCTACCCACTCCCCTCTGCTCAGGAACGTGAGCTGTGACCTTCCTCCTCTGTGTATCTGTCAGCCTCCAGCTCACTGTGCTGTGGAAGCAGCAACTCTGATATTGTAGTGAACAAACTATAAAAGTGCCTTTGTCATTTTCATTGTTATTCCCGTCTCTTTGATGGTAGGTAAAGAACCAGGGCTATGAAGTGCTTACTGCAGAGAGGCAGCAGTGGCCATTGATGCAATGGGGTAGTTTACCTGTCCGTCCTGACTAGCATGTGTAGTCCCTGCGGCACTGGCTAGCGTTAGTCTGTGAACCAGTGTGTGTCTCTGCAGGCCATGTGTTGGGGGGTTGTGGGTCCAGAACAAGGAAGTGGGACTGGAGATCAATTTCACTCCTACCACTTCTTGCAGCTGAGGCTGGACACATCATGCATCTCAAGGTCTGGGGGCTCAAGACACGTTGGTTCCCCAGGCCTGATCATTCCATCCTACAAACTTCCAATACAGTACTGAGTAGGATATGGCTCCATACTAATGCCTGCCAGACTGCTTGCCATTTCATCTCCACCACCATAGGTGTCTGGAGTCTCTCATTGCATTTCTCCAGCCCAGATTGAACCTGAGATCACAGTTGTCCAGGTTTGTGTCATACAATCACTTGTGACATCCAGGACGCACCAGGGCTACTTTTCAGCCTGTCATTTCATTGCAAGGGATTTGATTATTGACTGTAATCCTGCTCGGTGTCCTTGTCACAGATCCATCTATCTTCGGGAAGTTCCTTAGCTACATGGAATGGTTTTAAACCCAAGTAATTTATTACCTGGGACTATGGACCCCACTCTGGGCCTCTCACACGATGCTCTGCTTTTCACTACCTTGCAACAAGCCTACAGTCACCTCTTGAGGTCCACCCCACCCCGTCCTTTAGGCCAGCCTACCCTGTGCTTATCTGGCAACTCAGCCATCCATGCCCACTCCCTGTCCATTCCACCCAGGCTACTGTCCAAACCAAGTAACTTATTGACGCTCGAAGTCTAGATCAGCTTCATATTCAAATGTAGGCCTCTCAAGACAGACCTGTGTCAGGGAGGTGTACGATATGCCCTCCCCAAGTCCCTCCTGCTCTCCTCATGCACTAAGATCAGGTCTTCCAGGGTCAGCTCCAGAGACATGGAGAAATGGGCATAGAGAGATGGCTCAATGGGTAAGAGCATTGGCTGTTCTTGCAGACCACCAGGGTTCAATTCCCAGTACCCACACGGTGGCTTACATTAACTCCAGTCAGGGGATGGTGCTCTCTTCTCCATGGGCACCAGGCACCGTCTAATGATCCCTGGAAATACATGTCCAATAGCAAGGAAATGCTCTTAAAATGTAGGACACACATGGGCCCTGGAGAGTGGGGACCAAATGGCAGCTATAGAGAAGGGCAGCAAGGCAAGACACTTCCACAGTGAGATGACAGAGAGACTGGAATTCTATGGAACAACAGCGACAGCTCCAGTTCCTCGTTGATATGGATACATCAGGGCCAGGGGCAGCATGGATATTAAACCCAGCGACAGATATTGGAGTTCAAGCTGAAGAGCAGAAAACAAAGCAGCCAGATAGGACATCAATACTTTGCAGTACCAGCTACCTGAGATCACAATGGCTTGAATCTCCATCACCCTGGTGTCACTGGGACTGAACATTTGTAAGATGACAAATGCACACTGCCTGTCCTCAGAAAATACAAATGAACTTAAGACTGACCTGCTAAAAGTCACTGGCCCTGACCAGAGGGAACTGGGAAGCTACAGCTTTGACTGTAGCAGGAGAGCTTGGTGGAAGGAGGCTCACACTGTGCTCAGTAAACAGAAGAGTCCACAGTCCACCCACCTTCGAGTCATCTGGGGAGTTAGACTACTGGGTGTAAAGGGAAGCCTTTTCCTTTGAGAGAAGCCTTCCCGCCAGCCTGGTTCTAGAGCCCCATCAGTCCCAAATAAACACACAGGAGGCTATATTAATTATGAAGCTGTTGGCCATGCTTGTTTCTTACTGGCTAGCTCTGACTTAAGTAATTACCACATAATTGTTAATCTAAGTATTTCTCTTACCGGAGAGGTTTCCGGGCTTCCTACCCCATGGCGTTACATCTTGACTCCCGGTGTTTCTCCTTCCCAGAGTTCTCCTGAACTCCTAGTCCCACCTATCTTGGTTCCCTATCGGCCCAACAGTGCTTTATTGACAAATACATAGGACTTCCCCCATCAACTGGGTTTTCAGAAACTCGAGTGAACACAGAACACTAGAGACAGAGGGCAGGGGAAGCCAGGTCCTGCCCTTCAGCTTGATCTAGTTTTCAGGCTGTTTTTGTTTGTTTTGGCCCTAATGAGTTTTAATTTCCTTTAAGACAAAACAAAAATTCGTCAATGGTGCTGGTTTGGATAAGAATGGTCTCCAGTAGGTGGAACTTTTTTGACTCTCACATTAAATATCTGAGGCCATTAACCTGTGCACCATCTCAACACAGTCAGCATTTTAAACAGTGCTGTGTGCCCACAGAGGTGGGCATGGGGTGTGATGCTCAAACTCTGAGCATCCTAGAGTTCATGCAGATACCCTTGTCCAAGTCTGTCTTATGCTGGGACTAAGAAGAGGGTGATTGCATGAGGGCGTCTTGGTGAGAAAGGGGACAGAAGGTCAGCAAGGACCACCAGGACCCATTGCCCAGGAGCAGGCACAACTTGGAGGGAGACTCTCAGTGATGAGGCTCCTGTTCCTGAGCCCATAGACCCGGATTCTTGCTTTCCACAAGTGAGCTCAGATGAGTGGTTCAGTTTCTAGTTTCCTCCCGGCAGGTGCATGTAGAGATCAAGATGGGCGTCAGAGAGGCCCAAATGTGACAGGACAAAGGCTGTAGGCTGAAAGGGACAAGGAGATGAGTCACAGCTTCCCATGAAGGTGAGGAACCGTGAGCTGCCCTAGATCCCCCTTTCCCTCCCAGGTTCATTCTGTGGGGTTCACAAAATCAGCTGGACTTTGGCCCCTACTTGGTCACAACTCAGCTTCTTCACCCCAGGTTCATGATTATCAGACATCCAGGTGCCAGCCAATGAGATTTCTATCTCCCCCTTCTTTATATATGAATTAGCGCCTGTCTTAGGTGACTAGGATGTTAACACCAACCTTACCCATCAATGGAGAAATCACCCAGGCTGCATGACCCTCCTGTCTTAGGTTGGCTGGCATCCCCTTAGTCTTGCCCATCATTGGCTGCCTAACTTTTCTGTAGCCTCAACCATAGTTGAGCTGAAGGATTCTCTGTGGCCTTGACTGATAAACTGAGCCTGACCTTGTCTAGCACTAAGGTGTCTTACCCAAATGAAGCATATGATAGTAAGTCCTATGGCTACAAGGCCCAGAAAAAGGGACCCAGCCAATTCATTGATTAAATGGCCTACCAACTATAATCATTAACCATTTATAACCAACCCCATGTAAATGAAGACAAACATTTATAAACAAATTTGGGAATGTGGGTGTTGTTTTCTCCAAACCGCTTCCCATTGTTTGGGGCTGCTGAAATACCATGGGGATGCTAAAAAAATTCAGAAACCCTAGCTGTAGTGGTCTGCAAGGCTGCCTTGTCTCAGCTATTTTGAAGTTTATATCACCTGGGCCACTGCTTCAGGGAGTCTTGCTTCATAAAACAGTTATTAGTCTGGAAGGAATACACAGCATTTCATTTTATGTGGAAACACAAATAAAATCTCTCTTCCAAAGTAACATATTCTTACACTTAAAATTTGAAGTCAAGGCATTTTTAAAATATATAAATTGGATTAATCCAGCAGCATTTCTTTCAGCAGTTGTTGCTATTTCCTCAACTGTCAAACAATTCAAAACCAACACAATAGCATACAGTATCCAGACTCTCTGTGTATCTTCCAACTTTACATGGCTTATTTATATTATTTATTTATTTATTTATTTATTACTATTACTCTATTTCTTTCACTCTGTACACCAGGCTGGCCTTGAAATCACAGAGATCTGCTTGCCTCTGCCTCCTGCGTGTAAAAACCATGGAGTTGTCTTTTCCAAAGTTAAAGTGAAATCTTTAGCTGTCTTTTGGTTAATACCAATACCTTGTTTCTTTAACAATTCTATTCTTAGAATTTGAGGTACCTATCTTCAATTCACTCTCAATAAATCCATATTTGCTGGCCAGCCTCCAAGGGCCATCTCTCGGGGTCCTCTTCCTTTCCTGATCCAGGGGGCCTCCACTTGTGGCTCCTGAACTAGTAGTGAGTCTAATGTATTGGGTGAAAGCCTGGAGATTTAAATGAAAGACAAGATGTCCAGCCATTTGTGCTAAGAGAATGTATGTGTGCGCATGCGCGTGAGTGCACATGTGTTTATTGCAAGGAGGGAGCAGCCATATATACAGACTTACAACACAGTTGAAAAACCCCAGGTATAAGAGGCCGTGTTTTCATAATTAGATGTTGATGACAGTAGGGCAGGTCTGGGGCTGTAAACCAGGACTAGAAAACAGGATGCACCTGTGGTTATTGGCTAACAAGTAACTCACAGAGATGTCGGGGGCCTTTGCCATAATTCAGCCATAGCATTATCACGTCCTCATAGAGAAGACATGGCTCCAGGTAACATTGTTGAAATACCACCTCTTAAGATAGGATGCAAGTGCCAAGCGTTGGTGGCGCACACCTTTAATCCCAGCACTCGGGAGGCAGAGGCAGGCGGATCTCTGTGAGTTCGAGACCAGCCTGGATTACCAAGCGAGTTCCAGGACAGCCTCCAAAGCCACAGAGAAACCCTGTCTCGAAAAGCCAAAAAAAAAAAAAAAAAAAGATAGGATGCAAGTTCTGAGAAAACAGGCCTGTGGCTTATGTGCCTAGTCACTAGGGCATAGGCTTGTACGATGGAGGGAAGAAGTGAACGTTAGAATCTGCAGTTAGATGAAATAAAGTTGTCCCCTTGATCAAAATCCTGTCTTGGCGTCCATTTTTTGTATCTCCTGTCCCCCATCTTTCTCCTAGATGCCCTCCAGCCCCCATGTTGAATGTCCCGAGGGTCACGCACAGATACCCCATGGGGGCTGGGACCCAACACTACCTATGTGAGCTCACTATCCCAAGGTTCACCTAACAGGTGTGTCTTAGGCTAGAGGCAGGGCCAAGTATCCTGGGTGAGGGATGGTGTAGCATGAAGAAATCAGGAAGAGAGATGGCAGCCTTCCACAGATTAAGGACCATCCTGGGTCGAGCTTCTTCTCCATGCCAATCCTATGGGGATGGCAAAGTGAATGGACAAAGGCTCTCTCCTGTCACTTGCCAGCTCTTGACTCTGGTTTATGATTATCCAGGAGCCAGCCAATAGGGCGGCAGCCTGGCTCTGTTCCCCGAGGTGGAACTCGTCTTAGCGGGTTCCAGATGCCATCCTGGACACTCCACTGTGGCAGCAGCGAAGAGGACAGAGAGACACGGTTGGTTTCTCTCTGGGTCTAGAGTGCACGGCCTTCCTGGGTGTTCAAGGGTAGTGTGCTTTGGGGCTTGACCTTTGCTTCTTAGTGGATTACATCTTCCTAACTAGGGGAGTGTTTGCTGACACCTGCCGTGGGAACAAGGGATTCTGAAATTCATGAATCCTGAAGAGGAGACACAGCTGGGGACAGCACATCTTCCTTCCATGAGGTACCATCACAATGTCCTGAAGACTGGAGGGGGGGAAGGGGCTGTGCAAGCCTGTGCTGCATCAAGCTCGCTGTACTAAATCCTCAGCATTGCCCTGGAGCCCAGGAGTTACTTTACCCTGATCTGTAGATGAAGGCACACAGGCTCAGAGAGGTTGGCATGTCTAGGGTCACATGACTGGCCAGGGGAGGAGCCAGGGGTATAATGTTCTGGAAACCAACACTGTGCCCCAGTGTTGGTGTTTTGCTGCCTCCTGGGTGACAGTGGAAATGAGCACCTGTGAGTCTGGAGGCTGGGAGCTGGGTGGTGAGTGGAGGTTTGGGAAACTCATTTGCCCTCTTCTGGCTCCCTATGTAGGGCTATAAGGAAGCAATACAAGAAGATCGGGGCATCTCTTGTGGACGCTGAGACTTGAGACCAAGTTCTCCCATGGCTTCTTTTCACATTTGCCCCTTCCAGGAGAGAGATTATGACCAGGTCGTGGACTTGTTCTCCAGGGGCCTGAAGGAGCACATCCCCAATGCCTTCCGCCACCTGCTGACGCTGCCCCGGACCATCCTGCTCTTAATTGGAGTGCCTCTTGCCACAGTCCTGGTGTCTGGATCCTGGATGCTGGCTGTTTTATGCAACTTCTTCCTGTTTGGATTTTTGCAGCTCCTTGCTAGTTATCCCTGGAAAAAGTATGTGTCTGAATGTTTGCACACAGACATGGCTGACATCACCAAGTCCTACTTGAGTGTGTGTGGTTCAGGTTTCTGGGTGGCTGAGTCTGGGGGCCAGGTGGTGGGCATAGTCGGGGGTCTGCCAGTCAAGGATCCCCCACTGGGGAGGAAGCAGCTACAGCTCTTTCGCCTGTCTGTGTCCTCACAGCATCGAGGACAGGGCATAGCGAAAGCACTGGTCAGAACTGTCCTCCAGTTTGCACGGGACCAGGGCTACAGCGACGTTGTCCTTGAGACTGGCCTTGTGCAGCGAGATGCTGTGAGCCTCTACTACAGCATGGGTTTCCAGAAGACAGGCGAATCCTTCATGAACACGCTCACATGGCTTGTGGATATCTCTGTGATTCATTTTATCTACCCACTCCCCTCTGCTCAGGAACGTGAGCTGTGACCTTCCTCCTCTGTGTATCTGTCAGCCTCCAGCTCACTGTGCTGTGGAAGCAGCAACTCTGATATTGTAGTGAACAAACTATAAAAGTGCCTTTGTCATTTTCATTGTTATTCCCGTCTCTTTGATGGTAGGTAAAGAACCAGGGCTATGAAGTGCTTACTGCAGAGAGGCAGCAGTGGCCATTGATGCAATGGGGTAGTTTACCTGTCCGTCCTGACTAGCATGTGCAGTCCCTGCGGCACTGGCTAGCGTTAGTCTGTGAACCAGTGTGTGTCTCTGCAGGCCATGTGTTGGGGAGGTAGTGGGTCCATAATTGTAGGGCACATGAGCTAGTCAAAGATGGTGCTCACTGGAAGTCAGATGGGTGAGTCCTGATTTGTTCACAAAAGAGATGGTTGGTTGCATAGATTGAACCAGATGAGGTCACTACATGAACAGCTCCTCTTCACTAGGTAAAGGGTAGGATGTTTAGGCGTGTGGTAGGCTTGACCTTTAAAAGCCCTGGCTGGCTGTTTTCCTGCCCTGTTGTTTTTGCTTCAAAAGATGCTTGCTGTGTGCTAATAAACGAGTTTCTGCTTGACTAGACTTCCTGCTGCATCCGTTTGAATCCAGGATCCTGGGAGGCTAGGAAATGGGCAAGCAGTGTACTTACCTTTCCTTCGACCCAGCTCAGCCTTCTGTGGTTGGGCTAAGACCCTGCATCTGGCACCTGAACCTGGAGCATGAAGGATGTAAACCTCGGCTGAAGCCAAGTGGTCTCTCACGGTGAGACCCTTAGTATGGGTAACTCTATTTTCAGTAAGAAAGGAGAAGGACCAGAGAGGTCTACCAAAGATGAGGCAGAGGAAGAATGGACCAAACCATCTACCCCAGATAACTCCAGACCCCTGCCTTATACTCCCAGGAATAAGGAAGCTGGGGCCCCCTATTGCACCCTCAGGGAAAATCTGCGGAACCTGGACCCCTATGATGCTCAAGACCTAGGGGCCTGGTTTATGCAGAGGCCTATCCAATCAAGGAGGGACAGGAGGATGCAATTAGGGTGCCCCAAGCCTACTGGGCAAACTCAGCCTCTAGGCCAGGCAGGTCTCTAAACTGTTATCCTTGGGAGGCCAAGGATCTTAAAGAGCTCCACAAGGCCATGGTGGAGGATGGTCCTAATTCTCCTTGGGCACAAATCCTGTTGCAGGACATATCCGTGTGTCCCCAAGGACTGGCTGGATGTGGCTAGGCAGTCTTCCCTAGTTCTCAGTTTATCACATTGTATGCCTTTTATAAGGAGGAATGTAGCATGTGAGCTGAGGCAAGTAACCCCCTCATCCCTACTACCTATGCTATGCTGTCAGGAACGCGAGACGGTCATTCCACGGGGGTTCAGCAAGCAGAGATCAGGTGAGGCAGGCTGGGGTGAACTCCTGGGCTAAACTGGATGATGGGCCTGCTGAGTTTGCCATAGCTGAGGTAAGGCAGAAACCCCGCAAGCCTTTGCCAGAGTTTATAGACAGAGCGTTTGGCGCGAGCTGCTGCTCAGAGACCTCAGTGAACAATTTCTCAGACTGCTGGTATGGGAAGGGATGAATGGGAACCATAGAATGGCCTACGTGGGATTAAAAGACAGTTCCCTGAGCAGATGGGTGATAGCCTCCCAAGATGTAGGTACCCAGCAACACCAGTCCCAGTCTCTGGCCCTGGCCTTACAGGCCATGGCAACCCAGCGTCAAGGGTCCTTGAGGCCGCTGGGAAAAGGGACATGCTTTAGATGTGGGCAGGAGGGGCGTTTTATAAAGACTGTCCTCAACACCCACCCCTTGAGGGGCTAAGGCCCCCTCCACCCCATGCCCTTGGTGCAGGAAGGGACACCATTGGAAGAAGGACTATAGATCAAAATGTGACCTGGAGGGGAAGCCTTTAAACTAGAGGGGGACAGCCTCCGGCCCCATTAAAAAAGGGAGGAAGCCTCTCTAAAGGCAGGATTGGAAGTCTCATACCCCGACAACACAAGCCTACTGGACTGTCCCCTTGATCGGAGGACTTTCACCCAAAAATGACCGTTTTTTATAGGCAGTAAGAAGTTTCACTGTTTGGTAGACAGAGGGAAAGATAGGACAGTACTCCTGGAGGAGGACGTACTTTCTACCTGGAGGCTTGCAATTGGGCCCTTGGTTTTGGGGGTGGGAAGTAACTCCCAATCAAGAGGAACAGTGGCCCTAATGCGCTGGACCAGCACCGACAGGGACCAGGGAAAGATACACCCATTAGTGGTCAAAGGCCTTACTGACAATTTGCTGGGACAGGGCTTGCTAGGCCAAATGGATGTTGTTGAGACCACAGATCATCGGGCTTTTTATGAGAAAGAGGCACAAAGGGTGGGAAAGGACCTAAAGGGGATCACAGAGGAGGATTTTTTTCAAGCTCGACAACTACAGGGGGGAACCTGAGAGTTCTATCCGGGTACCCCCAATCATAAGGGCCACTGCTCCTCGAGTGCCACCTGTTAGATGGGCACTGGGAAAACCATATGGGTGGAGCAGTGGCTGCTTACTAAATCTAAGCTGCTAGCACTCCACCAGGTCCTGGATGAACAATTAAGGCTGGGACATATTTGCCTTTCTATGAGTCTGGGGCTTGGCGCATGCTCCGGGATTTGCACAAGATAAATGAGAGGATGGAACTAGTGGGCACCCACTTAAGGGGCATGCCCTAGACTCCTGCTATTCCCACAGAACATACATTTATAGTAATTGATACTAAGGATTGCTTCTTTTCTACACTGCTACATCCAGAGGACTGTGATAAATTTGCCTTCTGTGTTCCTTCACTTAATTATTCCAAACCTGATTAACCTTTTAAATGGGTAGTACTACCAAAAGGAATGACTAATAGCCTGGTTTTCTGTCAACAGTATCTTGCTACTCTCTTAAGGCCTATGATAAAGTCAAAGGATTCAATAATGTCTGATTATGTATGATTTAATTTTGGGACATCAGGATCCAGCATATCTGAAGGACTTTGTGACACAAGTGCTCCAATTGCTTAAAAAAGGGGGCTTTACTGTTGTCCCAGAAAGAGTCCAAAAGGAGTCCCCTTCCAAGTACTTGGATCATGCCTCACGCTGACACAGACTAGCCCACTTAAGCCTGTTCTGGAGGTGCCTGAATCTATGACACTGACCCAGCTCCAGCACTGACTGGGGGAGATTAATTGGCTGAGACCTTGGGTGTCTATCCCCACAGAAGACCTGGTACTCCTGTGTGCCCTGCTAAAGGACAAGGTGCCTCATGATAGTATAACCATGACAAAGGAACACCATGAGATCCTCCTTGTCTTTTAGAAGGCCTTGGACAGATGCTCTCTAAGGAGGTATTCGATGACTAGGCCCTTGTCCCTCTGGCTGTTTGCTGGAGCTTCCCTGATTACAGTGGTTCTAAACCAGGAGGGGGAGCCGTTGGAATACCCTGGATCTATTCTCTAGCAGATCAGCTCACTGACGCCATCATAAAGGGCAGGACCCAAGCCCAGTGACACTATTCCTCTTCCAGGTGGCGGATGTTGAATGGCTTGCTCTGGCTAATGCCCACCTTATAAGGATTTATGGGGGGTATTGATTGCCACTATGGGTCATCCAAATGGGCTCCTCTTTTTTACAGAGACTCTCCCCTTAAGATACCTTCCTTGTTTCTATCCGAGCCCATCCTGGACACCATTAACATCTTCACTGATGGGGGCTGAGCAGGCTCTGCCTATGTTGCCTTTAGAGGATACCAAGCAACACCAAGCCACCAAAGATTTCAACCCTGCCAAGTTTCTGCCCAATATAAGGAAACACTTGCTGTGATGGTGGCATTACAGAACATCTCTGAGCCCTGCAATCTTTTTTCAGATAGACTCTATTTGGTTAACTTACTTCCCCATATTCCACAAGCACACATTCAGTTAGATAATAACCCTATATCCCCCTTCATGGTGCCTCGTAAGGCCCTTCTAGAAAGTTGAGAGGCACCAATTGACTTTCAGCATCTTCAGGGGCACTCCAGCCTCCCAGGGTTCCTTATGGGCAGATAGAACAGTGACCACCCCAGAGGCACTAACTCTACATGAAGCCACTCAATTACATGATATGACCCATGTCAATTGGAGGGGACTGCATAATAGATTCACAATGATTCCTATAAAAGAACTAAAAAAGATAGTTCACACCTGCAAATCATGTCAACCATATCTAAGAGTTCCTCCTCTATAGCTGCCAGGAATTAACTCCAGAGGCCACTGCCCAATATCCTCTGGCAAACCGATGTTACTTATTTTCCAGCTTTTGGCAAATAGAAGTATGTTTTTGTCTCCATAGACATTTGTATTTGTGTGCCTTTGCTTTTACAGGAAACAAAGAGTTGTCTTCAAAACTAGCAAAGATCAGATTTGATTGGGGAACCTCCTGAAAATCTTGACTATAGACATGAGAAAGGAAACCAAGAAAAACTACAAGGCAGGTGATGTGTATGCTGATCCCTCTACATGGGAACATCTCTGAGACTGGATGAGACATGATAAATTTTGTTGGCTACAGAGTCCCATTACTTATTACATGCCATTCTTTCATATGGATATATGTTTGGTTATACGATCCAAAAAGACTTACAAAGTTAATAGGTGCCTTTCACCTGCTCAAATATAGCACAGAAAACATCTTTAGCTGACTTGTGCACACTACACATTCCATACATGTGTTAATGTAGATATGCATGTTACCATCAAAGATTTATGCATTGTCAGAATTAGGGAACCAGATACCAATGAAAATGGGTGGTCCGGGTGTTTGAGTCTCCCAGAGTGCCTCTGTTGCAGTTTCCCCAGAATCCTGCATCCAGAACACCTTTAAGGCTGCTGACTGAGATGTCCAGCTTCGCAGACTATTCTAGTTAGGACTACAGATAAGCCTTGCACTTTCCCATTGCACAGAAACTAGACAACAAATGTTATGGTTAGTTTTCCCAGGACTTGACCATTATTTTAATTTTCTCAGGTTCCATTAAGATGCCGTCACTCACAGAGAACAGGAAGCAGGCTAGCGAATACAACGCCCACATTCCCAAGAGGTAGGGTGCTT